TAAAAATACTTTGATAAAAGTTAGTCTTCTCTAAAAATATTACTTGAGTAAAAGTCTTAAATTATTTGATATTTTTGTACTTAAGTATCAAATGTAAATTTCTGACATAAAATCTACTTAAGTATTAAAAGTAAAAGTGAGCAGTTAGTTTTTCCAGAATGACATTTATTGGGAGGTGACTTCTCCAAAAAATATATTTTCTAACAGCGTGCAGCTGTGATGGGTTGTGTACAAGCTAATATAGTGTCAGAATGATATATATTTATACTTCTCATCCAAACACAATTAAATTCACTCTGTCCAGGAGACACTATTTATCAGGATAGTATTTTTTAAGTAATAACTCGGAATAAAATAGGAGTAATGACTTTCTACTTCTTACCTTTTTAAAAAATGTAGTGAGTAGAAAGTACAGATAATTTGGTACAAATGTAATGAGTAAAAGTAAAAACTACACTGAAAAATAATTACTCAAGTAAAGTACAGACACCCAAAAATTCTACTTAAGTACAGTAACAAWGTATTTGTACTTAGTTCCTTTACAACTCTGGCATCGAGATAACTTTAGAGAAGTGGTCATGAAAAGAACGACACGTCCACTCGTCCTCTGTGACCACACGTGTTTCTAGTTTGTGTTTAAAGAAGCTGCAGGCCCGCAGATCAGATTAGTCTCCGCCTGATTAAATATTAATTTCAGCTTTTTCAGCAGACGGCACTCTGAACGTGGAGGAGGGAAAACAAGGAAGCAGCGGAGAGGCTTCAGTGTTTGTGATGCAGCTGATGAAACAAGAAAAGGCTTTTAGAAGACGAGAGTGTTCTTCACTCAGAGGGAGAAGAGCTTTAGACTGCAGACAAAAACACTTCCTGTTTACTATAATGACTTTATTAGAGAAGCAAACAAAACAATTGCAATAAAACATACTCTACTTGCATTGCATGCTGTACTTTAAGGCAGAGACTCAAGAATAAACTCTGATTCTTACATGCTGAGACAAGAAACCAAAAAGGAAGAAAAAAAATCATTTCTACCTCCTCCTTCCCAACAAACATCTGCAGCAAAACAAAGATCGATGAACTGCTTTCAATTAATGTTTTCTTTTATTTGTCCTTAAAAGTATAAAAGTTCCTAATAAAAGCCAACTGGCCATGATTTAGTCTTATTTGTTTCCCAGCTTCAAACTGAGCCAATAAACTGGTGTTTATCTGCAGAGCAGGGTAACACTGGAGAACAGATGATTTAATCTTTGTAACTTAGTGATTCTGACCAGTTTGTTTCACGTAAAYCATGTAAATAAGCTTCTTTTGCAAAACTAATGAAATAAAGCCTGAATGTTATCATGAATTATATTAAATGAGGCAGCCTAAACGCAATGACCGGTAGATTTTATGACGGTGATGCTAAAATGAGGGTCCACACCCAACGTCAACAAATAAATACAGCTGATAAATTTGACCTATTTTCAGTCACTTGTGTTGTTTCTGGTTAAACCAAAAGTTCACTGCCTGGTAAAAGTTTTGCAGAACTCACTGAAGAACTTGCAGCTACAGAGCCTTTATGCAGTTTTCAAAGTTTAGACAAAAACACATTTGAAAAAAAAATAAAAAAGTAAAACTTCACAGCAGGAAAGTTTCTGTTTTCCAGTGATTTTSACTTAATTTCTGCAGCGTTCAAACAGCAGGATGGAGGCGACATTATTATCAATGTTTGCCCCTTTTTTTTATTAAAGCAAAGAAAAAAATGACCAGTGTTAACTGTTTGATCACAGAAACTAAACACCCACACAAAAACAGTGCATTCAGAGTGAACCACACAAACCTGAAGGGGAAAAAATCCCTTTAGCTTTGCTTGTAAGACTAAAACCAGTTTGTGCTCATGATAAACAGGAGTCCACAGAAGCAGCTTAAACCAGGTAACGACAGCTTTCTGACATCAGCTGAAGGATTTCCTTTAACAGCAGAGAGGAGCTCATATTTACACAAGACTGAAGCAAAAACAGCAGGTTTTTCATCACTGCAGTCGTTATTTTACAACCCTGAGGAGTTTCATGACCTGAGCCGCTCATTATTACTCCAACACAACTAAACTTACATCAAAAACATAAAATAAAATAAAAACCTACACATGGTCCCTTACATTTGTCTTGTTCTGGCTGAAAACCCTGCAGCTCTGAGGAATGTTAGAAGCTGGATCAGACCTGGGTTCAGTGGTTCTGATTGGTTTTAGGGAGGTTTCGTCAAAAAATCCAGTGTGCCGAGTCAAAAGTTTAAAAACCTCAGGTCTTTTTTTTTAAGATTACTTAGAAATAAAAGATTAAAAAGATTCACAGAAAGAAAAAATTAAATAAATAAATCCAAATCAACAATAAGGACACCAGTGGTTAAAAGAAGGCAGAACAATTTGGTACATTKAACACCTATAAACTCCTAATTGTAGAAAACATTTAAATTCACAACTATTGTTTAAGGCCAGCTCATTTCAAACCTCTGGACTTATTATTAAAAGGACATTAAATGTACAGAAAGCAACTATCAGTTACAAATACAATCAAACATTTTTTGCTTCTAACTGAAAAAGGCAGAATATGAAAATGTACTTTCTAAAACAGAACGACGTCAAAGTGAATAAATCTATTTCATTCCCTCCTCCTGACGACTTGTTTATTTATAGAGTTAAAGATTTCTGTCATTCAAAACCAGTGTAAACACTTTCATTTGTTGTGCTACCAATCACGTTTCAAACACTGATAACGCTAAATATAGATCTTTGTTGCTTGTTGTTTTTTTTATTTCGTGTTTAAACTCGCAGAAAAAAAAACTGCTTCATAAGAGTCACATTTATTTCATGCATATCCAGAAGAAATGTTTTTACTGCTTCTATTAAAATAAGAATAAATCTATGGTTCAGGAGTTTGGTTTTAGTCAGACCAAAACCCAAACATCCAGTTTGAGCTACATTTATATAATCCTATAATCCTCAGCTGCCATTTCTAAGCCACTATATTCAAGAGGGAAAGTTTGTGATCATCCAAGTCACAGCTTCAGATAATAACTTTTATCTTTCTAAATAAGCCTGTAGTTCTGAAATATTTGTGAAAAAATATTTTTCTTTCCAAATGCTCAGAATAAAAACAGATCTAGAGGGTATTTTGGTCATGAGGCACAAAGCTGGGGTCATATTCTGAAGGGTTTCCTGTGTGCTGCAACACCAACCAACGAAAAACAAACAGGAACGATCTAAGAACAAATAATAAACATTTGTGCAGTTTTAATGTCCTATAAAGGGGAAATTTCAAATTCTGTCACCATTTTAAC